TTCACTGGCTAGTCACTCGCCTCCCTGACCGCCTAGCCACAGCCCGCGACGCGCTTCTTCTGAAGCACCCCACTGAGCTTACCATCGATCTTCTTGAGACTGCTCTCTCGAAGATCGAGAGTAACCTCCTCGCTGTTGCCTCTGCCTCTTCCGCGCCTCCTCCTCGTCTCTTTGAGGGGTGTGCGGTACCACAGCTTCCCACCTTCACTGCCTCCCTTGCCACCCCCGCGTCTTCTGCCTCTGAGGAGACGGCGGCTGTTTCTGTCTCTGGCGGACAGAAACGTGGCAAGGCCGGTAAGAAGGGCGGGAAGGGCGGCGGGGGTACTGGAGGTGGTGCGGGTAGTGGCGGTGGCGGTGGAGCAGGTGGTGGGAGTGGTGGTGGGGGTGGCTCGGGACCTGACGGCCCTCCTCTCGACGGTGGAGTTTTCACTGGTGGTGAGGGGTTCCAGCAGCAGCAGCAGCCGGCTTCTCAGCAGCTGCCACCGCCTGGACAGCAGCAGCGGCAGGGACAGCAGCAGCAGCGACAGGGCCAGCAGCAGCGCCCGCCACAGCCGCAGCCGCAGCAGTGGGGCCCTCCGCAGCCGTGGGGCTCTCCGTAGTAGTGGAGGTCTGCGGGTCCCCCGAGCACTGGGCGCAATGCTTCCCCCTCCAGTCGGGGACCTCGCTCGGCCGGCCGCGACGTTGGTCCCTGTGAGTACTAGATCCTTACGGGTCCACGGCCGGCCGCGACGTTGGTCCCTGTGAGTACTAGATCCTTACGACGTTGGTCCCTGTGAGTACTGTGGCCGCCCTGACCACTCTGCTGCACGCTGCTTCAGTCGTCTCGACGACCTCTACCGCTTCCACCACGGCCCCTCCGCTCCCCCGCCGCCGCGTTGGGGGACACTTCTTGCTCGTGGTATCTCTGTTTTTGATATGACTATGGATGATGCTAGGTCTTATGCCATGTATGCTGATGTTGACTATAGTGCTCCTGGATCTGTGTACTTGCCTGTGCCTAGCGTAGGCTCTTTGCCTGTTGCTAGAGTAGGTGCTAGTGTAGGATCTTGTTTAGCTACTAGTACAGGTGCTCCCTCGGCGGACGCGTCTCTCTCCTTCACACTGGACTCAGGAGCTTCACACTGTTTCTTCTGCAACCGCACGACTCTCTCTCCACTGCCGGCACCAGTCCCTAAAGCACTGGCTGATCCTTCCTCGGGACCGGTCATTGCGACTCACGCCACTACTCTCCCGTGCCCACCTGCCCCTTTGGGTTCCCTGACTGGCCTCCACGTTCCTATGTTATCTAGGAACCTGGTTGGTGTGGGCCCCCTGGCGAGACAGCACGTCGGGGTCTGGTTTGAGCCTTCTGGTGACATTGCGGTCTGTGTGGACAGTGACACGTACCCCCCCTTGGCCACTTTTCGCTAGGAGCCGGGCTCCGGTCTGTACACCCTCCACACCGACCCCCGTCAGGTTCCTCCGTCCCACCAGGTAGCCAGGTCCAGTCAGGTTGCTGTGTCCGGTCTAGTTGCTGCATCATGCTCGTGTCGATCGCTTGCCCACCCATCCCTCCTCTGGCACCACCGCCTTGGTCACCCGTCTCTCCCTCGTCTTCGCGCTATGTCCAGTCAGCGTCTTGTCTTAGGCCTCCCCCGAGTCCTTCCGCCGCTCCCGCCGTCCCCAGCTCCTCCTTGCGGTCCTTGTGTCCAGGGTCGGCTGCGCGCCACCCCTCACTCCTCCTCCCTTCGTCCGGCCACCGAGCCCTTCGAGACACTCCACTTAGACGTCTGGGGCCCCGCTCCCCGCCTTGGCCCTGAGCGGGAGAGTTTCTTTCTGGTGGTCGTTGACGACTACTCTCGGTACACCACCGTGTTCCCTTTGGCGAAGAAGTCCGACGTGACTTCTACGCTGATCCGGTGGCTGCTCGCCACCGAGAGTACTCGTCGTCGTCGTGTCAGTTGTCTCCACTCTGACCGTGGGGGTGAGTTTCGCTCCGGCGTTCTCGCCAGATTCTATGCTGATCAAGGCATCTCCCAGTCCTGAACTCTTCCAGACTCTCCACAGCAGAATGGCATGCTGAGCGCCGCTTAGGCCTGGTCATGGAGATTGCCCGCACCTCCATGATCCACGCCCGCGCGCCCCATTTTCTGTGGCCCTACGCGGCTCGGTACGCCGCTCACCAGCTGAACCTCTGGCCTCGTGTCTCTCGGCCAGAGGCTTCACCGACCAGTCTTTGGACAGGGTCCCCTGGTGTAGCGTCGAGGTTTAGTGTCTGGGGCTGCTTGGCTCTTGTCCGCGACACCTCTGCGGACAAGATCTCACCTCGCGCCGTCCCCTGTGTCTTCCTTGGTTTCCCAGAGGACTCCTCTGACTTCACCTTTTACCACCTCCCGTCCCACCGGTTCTTTGACTCTCGTGACGTCCGTTTCGACGAGTCCGTCCCCTACTACGTCCGGTACCCCTGTCGAGGTCTCCCAGTTTCCCCCCCCTCCCCTCTTCCTGGCTCCAGCTCCTCCTCCTCCCGCCCCTGCTCCTCCGGTACCCCCCCCTGTTCCCGCTCCGTCTGGTGTGTCCCACGCTACTCCCCCCCCCTTCGATACCCCCCCAGGTCTCTCCTCCTTCCCCACAGTCGTCCTCACAGCCTCCGCAGCAGCCGTCAGCGCTTCCTTTACCGGCCACTGCGGACTCTGAGGGTGTTGGTGCTCGAGGTGAGGGCTCTGGCGGTGCTCGCTCTGGGGGTGCTGGCGTTGGAGCTGTTCGTGCACCTACAGGAGCCGCCCGTTCTGGGGGTGTTGGCGTTGGCGCTGAGCGTGCACCTGCCGCAGCTGCCCGTTCCGAGGGTACTGGAGCTGGTGGTGGTGCTGGAGCTGGTGGTGTTTCTGGAGCTGGAGCGTCTAGGACTGGTGCTGGTGCCACTGGAGGCACCACGACTGGGGGTGCGGGTACACCTCCTACAGGTGCTGGTCGTGCTGTCGCAGGGGGTACTCGCTCTGGGGGTGCTCAGCCGGGTACTGTCGAGGGCGGAGCTGGTTCTTCTTCTTCGTCTCCTGACACCACTCCTCCTCCTCACCCCTACCCTACTCGTTACCAGGCCCTTCTTCGTGTTGAGCGTGAGGAGCAGCAGCGTTTGGAGCGTGAGAGGTTGGAGGTTCAGCGGCGGGTGGAGCGCGAGCAGTTGGAGTTGCAGCGGGAGCAGCAGCAGCAACAGTCGGAGCAGCCTCCGGCCCTTGTTTCTGGCCTTCGGGCCCTTGGTCTCCCCTCCTCTCCTCCTGTGTTCGGTCCTACGTTTCCTCCTCCGGACTCAGCTCCGGCTGTGTTCCCTCGTTCTCAGTCTCCTCCGTCTCCCTCTCCTCTCGCCCACACTTGGGCCTCTCGTCCTCCTCGTGCTCGTCCTTCGTCACCTGTCACTGACCTCCGTACTGTGTTGTTCCGTCCTAGTCCTCCTCGTTCTCCTCCGTCTGTTCTTCCTCGTCCTCCTGAGTCGTCCCTCACTGCCTCCCTGTCCACTCCGGTCTCCGACTACTACCGCACGTTCTGCCCCACTCTCTCTCATGTTCTTGCCTCTCTTGTTACAGACCCTCGTGCCTCTCCTTCCTCTGTCGCAGTCCTCACTGTCGCCGTCACTGAATTTACTGCTACGCGTTGCCTTAAATACGCCACTCGTGTTGTGGCCGCTCCTCCTGTCCGTCCTCTGTCCGCCAGGGGTGAGTCAGCCCTTGGCTGTGACGTCCTAGAGGATAGACAGTTTGAGCTAGAGTTTCTGGCAACTGCTTTGCCTCATCTCTGTGCCATGCTCCTCGCTCCTGAGGGAGACCCTGACGCTCCTGACATACCTACTCCTCGCACTTACGCTGAGGCAGTGTCAGGGCCTTGGGCCTCTCAGTGGAGAGTTGTGATGGACGACAAAGATGACCTCCTACAGGTCAACAGGCACTTACGTTGACGAGGTTCCCCCCCCAGGGGCGAACATAGTTGACGGCATGTGGATCTTCAAGGTGAAGCGGTCATCGGGATCTCCCCCAGTCTTCAAAGCACGCTACGTGGCTAGGGGGTTCAGTCAGCGCGAGGGGGTTGACTTCTTTCAGACCTTCGCGCCCACCCCGAAGATGACCACTCTTCGAGTGTTACTTCACGTAGCGGCACAGAGGGACTACGAGCTACACTCCCTCGACTTCTCCACCGCCTTCCTGCAGGGCAGCCTACACGAGGAGATCTGGCTGCGTCGTCCTCCGGGCTTCACTGGCACCTTCCCGCCTGGGACCCAGTGGAGCCTCAGACAGGCGTATCTCAGTTCGGGTCATGAGCACTGTTCATTCAACTTTTTGGGTCATCCGCAACTGGCGGATGACCCAAACTTGCATCTGGAGGCGCGCGCGGTCTGAACTTCGGGTCACACGTACAGCATCCATGCGACATCGCGCATGAAATGTCTCCCACCAATCGGAACCTTGGGCGACCCCATTTTGAGTCCCCCGCTGTAGACGGTCGTCATCTGTCCCTCCCCCCCGTCAAAGTAGCAAGTACACCACTTGTTTACAGCGCACGACCAGTAACCCATACATGACTAGACACACCACTTCACAAGTTGGGATCCTACCAACAGAAAACAAAGCCTCGGGCGCCATGTCTAGAAGCACATCTGCATAAAATAGCGAGACACAAGGCTAGTTCCGACTTGCGCAAATGGCGTGCGCCGCCATCCCACGGAAGCCTTCAGTGCACGCCAACGCCCAATACTTCAGCCACGCATGTCTAGTATTTCATTGACCCCCGTGTCCATACACCATGCACATCACACAACTCCTCGTATTGTGCGTAGGCCTGCACCTCTGGCATGAATATCTTTTCGTCACCTGGCAGCGCGTAGTATCCCTCGTCGCTTTAGAGTGGGTCTCCACTCTCCTGCCCATGGCTCTGGCTGAGGATGAGGAGCTATCCCGCCGTGACACTCAGCGCCGTGAATCGCGGAAAAGGCGTCGGGAGTCTCGCATGCGGGTTGGACTGAAGAACTGCAGGCGATGTTTCACGAGGAGTTCAAAGACACCTTCCGCATCACACGCGAGGTCCTAGACATCATCGTAGTGCGCATGGCGTACCCTTTGTCTCGCTTTGTCCAAGTGCATGACATTCCATTGTCTCTGTGTTGCCTAATCCCTATCAAGTACTTTGCCAGTGCTATGACGTACCATGACATGGCACTGATGTTTGGTCTCCCAAAGGGACTTATTCATCGACTTGTGGATGCATTCTTGGTGTGGTTCCCTCGGAAGTTCAAAGCAGAGTGGGTGCAGTTCCCCCCCGAGGATGCCCGCTTGGAGATGGCACTCGACTTCCGCGCCATCAAAGGGGTTCCTAACGTGATTGGAGCCATCGATGGTACACACTTGGAGATCAGAGGCATGGAAGCCCATCATGGAGACTATTACAACAGGATATCTGTTTACAGTGTGCAACTACAAGTCACATGCGATGCCAATGGTGTCATTTGGGACTACACTGTTGGAAATCCAGGCTCCATGCATGACCAAGGGGTTTTCAGTACGTCAGAGCTACATGGCAGGCTTGAGAGCGGTGAAATCGCCCCCTATCAGCTAGTAGGCGATGCTGCCTATCCTCTCAAATCCTACATGCTCACCCCCCTCCACGCACCCTGCAAGCGCATTATGAAGAAGTGGGAGCAGACCTACAACTACGTGCAGTCGGCGACACGCATGGTGGTCGAGCGCACCATCGGCGCCCTCAAGGGTCGGTGGCGTCTCTTCGCGCGGAGGCACGAGAGCAAGCTTTGGCGGGTGTGCGCCGGCACGGCGTGCATCATCATCCTGCACAACTTGTTGGAGACTATTAGCACGCCGCGGATGAAAACAAACAACCCACACCGCCGTCTATGGGCCGGACTGCCCAACGGATGGTGGACAAAGGAGCGGCATGGATCAATACAGGTGGAAGCACTTGGAGAACCCGACGCTCGAGGAATTGCGCAAGCGACGGCATCACTTCGGCAAGCACATCCACCGTGCTTACCTGAGGCGTCACCGTGTCTCAGGTTCGGCGTGCTAATGCTCCGCCTGCTCCGCCGCCTCCTCTGACACCGCCATTGTTTCGTCCACTGCCGCATCCGCCGGTGCCGGGGGCGGTGTGGTCGAGGGTGCAGCTGGTGGTACGGGCGGGCCGGCCGTCTGCAGCCGCAACCCAGCCTGAATCGCCGCCATGGTCATGGTGTCGACGAGCAGCTGCGTTGACTCCTGCAGCTGCCTCAACGTCGAGGCGTTCGTGGTGTTGATCGCATCGCTTAGAAGCTTCGCTGCCGCCATTGTTGCGGTCTCATCAATCCGCCTTCGCTTGGGTGGAGGGGTGACACCAGCATCTGTAGGGGGTCGGGTGCATGGGGAAGGGGGGTTGTTGGATCTGGTTCTCTGGACGTAGGGCAATAAGGCGGCCGTTGTTCTCTGTGTTTGGTCCAAATAGTAGTGTATTTCACTTTATGAGGCATCGTTGGTCCCGAGCACTGCCGCATGCATGGCACAATGAGTCTTCACACATAGTGTAGGCCTGGCGATGCATGACTCATGCGGTACAGTACGTGGGTTTGAGGTTGGAACAGGGATAGACGTTCGACCGTGAGGTTTGGACATATCATGCACATGCATAGCCATTTTAAGTAAAATAGACCATGCATCTAGGGGACGTACCTGGAGTAGCGGGTTGTTTGCGGCTTCCCTTGGTCCTTCCGACCGATTGTGGGCCCGACATCTCGTGCTCATTGCCGCTGGGCACGGATGCATATGCCTCGACGTTGACCGTGGCGGCGCCTCCACCGTCCAACGCGTGTGCCTTTACTTTGGCCGAGTGTTTCTTCAGGTGGTATACATACTCGTACCAGGGCTTCTTCTTGATTGCCTTCCCTTCGCTCTGAGTCTCCCCACGCTTCGTTTTCAAATACTTCTTCTCGAGCCTCTTCCACGTGTTGTCCCTCATCGCAATCCCACGTGGCGTCCTTCTCGACCATGTGGGCACGCAGTTTCTTCCAGTACTGGCTGCCCTGCTTCCCTTGCATGGCTTTCAAGTCGTCCTTGGTGTTCCAGCATGCAGCCGCGAGCGAGGTGAGCTCGGCGTCAGACCATTGTCGCTTGTTCCTCACTCTGGCCTTCAGCTTTTCCTTCTTAGGTCGACGGGTGCTGCGCTCGTCGCCGCTGCTATCATGGCCTGCGTCTGAGTCCTCCTCGTCCTCGTCACTTCCGACCTCGTCACTTCCGACCTCGCCACTTCCGACCTCGGCCTCGCTTTCCGACTGGGAGACGATCTCCTCAAGATCGTCAACACTGACGTCTGTGTCCGCGCCCGGCGGCTAGTACTGGCGCCGGCGGAGTCGCGCACGGGCTTCGAAAGTCGCTTGATTGACGGCAACAGTTTCCCCTGCCTTTGCTGCTCCTTCATCCACGCGACGTAGGGGGGGTCAACCAAGGGGTCATCGTCGCGGGCCTTCTCCTTTCCCTTGCCGCGTGCGCTACGATGTGGTGGCATCTCTAGCTTGTGTCTCCCCTACTAGCTTGGAATGGCCTGCTGGTTTGAACAGATGGAGAAGCATATGTATTTGTGAATCTCATCACCTTCGCTTTCCAGATCGGAAACCCTACAAATGTGGGACACATGCTGGGATGTGGTTGGGTTCGGTGGGGGAGCTGCGGAGTGTTGCATGCATCGATTCCCGCTGGGAATTTTGACGCTTGTTAGATTGGGGAGGTTGTCGCCAACACTGGAGTGTGGGGTCATGAAATTGGGTGGGGCTATCTTTCATTGGATGCGATGTTTGTGCGGGAATGTTTTCTAGCGCGAAATCATTCCCGCTAAATGTGGGGTCGCACAAGTTCACTTACCCCAAAGTGGTGTTCTATGTAGGTTGGGTCATCCGCAATTCGCACATGCCCGGAAGTGGCCTTATGACCCGAACTGAGATACGCCCTCAGTCGACCGGTCTACGGTCTCCGTCAGGCACCCCGTGAGTGGCACGACACTCTCCGCTCTACTCTGTCCGACCTCGGGTTTGAGCCGTCTTCCGCCGACCCGTCGTTGTTTGTTCGTCGTGGGCGCACACCTTTCTTCGTTCTAGTCTTCGTTGACGACTTGGTTTTTGCCACAGCCGACACAGTTGCACTGGGGAAGGTGAAGTCCGAACTGCAGAAGAGACACACCTGCACTGACCTTGGGGAACTGCGCCGCTACCTTGGCCTGCAGATCTCAAGGGATAGAGCCGCTCACACCATCACTCTGACTCAGTCACACATGGTGCAGCACGTCCTTCAGCGCTTCGTTCGGGCTTCTGCACTCCTCTCCTACACCCACCCCTCTTGCTGTAGACCACAGACTCACTGGGCCTTTTCCTGACGAGCCGTTCGAGCCCAGTGGTCCCTACGCAGAGCTGGTAGGCTCATGTACCTGATGACATGCACTCGCCCGGACCTCGCCTTCCCTCTTAGCATCCTTTCTCGCTTTGTTGCGACTGGGAGACACCAACCTGTTCATTGGACGGCAGCTAAGAGGGTGGCGAAGTACCTCGCCACGACATCAGACATGGGGCTTGTACTTGGAGGGACACAGCCAGTTGTACTCACCGGTCACTGCGACTCCTCCTACGCCGACGACGTTGAGACTCAGAGGTCTACGCAGGGTTACTGTTTCAGCCTGGGCTCTGGAGCTGTTTCGTGGAGGTCTACTCGGTCCTCCTCTGTTGCGACTTCTACCGCAGAGGCCGAGATCTACGCTGGAGCCCTTGCTGCACAGGAGCTACGCTGGTTGACCTTCTTGCTCACTGACCTTGGTGAGCGGCCGAGCTCTACACCGACCTTGTTTGCTGACAACAAGGCGATGATTCTCCTGTGTCGTGAGCCTTGACTGGAGAGCAGAGTGAAGCACATCGACGTCAGGTACTTCCTCCTTCGAGAGTTGCAGAGACGCGGTCAGGCGCGTCTGGACTTCGTGGCCTCCGAGGCCAACACTGCAGACATCTTCACCAAGGCCCTTCAGCCTTGTGACCACCGCCGGTTTTGTCTGCAGTTAGGCCTCGTTGAGACTGGGTCTAGTAGACTGCAGTAGTGAGTTCTTGCCTCTTGTTTGTTTGTACTATATATATTAGCTTGTACTCTCTTGAACTGGCCTTGTGGCCTCTTGTTTGTGCTCAGACTGGTGGAGATTGGTGGTGATGGTGTGATCCACCCTGAGCTCTGTTTGCTCTCTTGCTTGTGACTGGTCTTGTGACCTTAGGTTGTGTTTTGTTGCTTGGCATTCCCCACTTAGGACGCGTCATATGTCCGACACGGATCCCGTGAGATATCGGTGTGCAGCATCTACAGTGTATTCGCCATTTCATGAAAGACATGTATCATTTTGTCGTTAAGCATGTCGCGAAAATTGTCCACACGCAAAAAACCCCAGATCGGATGGCTCAAACAGGCACATCGATCGTGCGATTGACAACGTGGGAATCGATGTCGCGCCACCAGTTCCAGCCACGATCGATCGCCGTCGCATACCGTCGGCTACGCTCGATGTGGTAACCGGAGGACATCGCAAACAGTCGGTGGGCTACACCTGCGCTGTGTGAGCGCGTCGTCACAAGCCTAGCGAGTGTTGTGCGACATGCGAGCGAAGAACGGCTCATGCGCCAGCAACTTTGGTGTGCATTCGGCATGGAGCACCCAACTTGCAAAACAGGTCGTGTCACACTTGGCTCGGGGAAGCAGCCAACACTGCTCCATCAGATTGATTCCCTTTTTTTGTACGCGATGCACACAAATTTGGTGTTTGGAGCCGATCATGCCCCGGTGTTGTACATGTGACGCGTCCTTAGGCTATGGGGGTGTGTCAAATGTTATAGCCTCTAGTGGGTCATGCTATATGGGGTACAAACAGTTAGGGTTAGGCATTTGTACCCCAACACAATCAATCTAACTCATTCCGCTGTTTTTTCACTATGTAAGAAGTAGGACCCTATTGACAAATTCAAGAAATTGGGTGAAGAGTTTCTGGGCATGAGAGTAGGAATACCCAAAGTGCAGACCAAGCTGGCGAAAGGAAAGTCCATATCCAAGTCGGTTAAGTCCCATGGCGATAAACACGAAGTTGAACACGGGAGGCTTGCGGTTTAAGGGGTAGCTTGTTAGAAACTAGAGACAGGAAATGCTTGAATTGAAACAGAGTTGGGTACATATGCTAACCCTAACATTGGGTTGTACCCTTTATGGGCTACCCCACTACAGCCTACACAAGTTTTTTAACATATACAGTTGGACACACCCCCATAGGCAAAGTGGGGGAGAACAAGGGGTCACAAGACCAGTCAAGAAACGCAAAACAAGCTCAGGGTGGATCACAACGTCACCACACAAACTGAGCACAAGCAAAGGGCCACAAGGCCAGTCCACATGCAGAGATATATATATATGCAACAAGAGCAATGCAGTGATCAATACCTAGCAAGAGCAAGCATGCAGGTATAAATATAGAACACAGTACACACAGAGGCTACAGCAAATGTGGAAACGTAGGCACAAGGCCTAACAAAGTACAAAAGCGCTGATGATCACCAGACGGAAGTGCCTTGGTGAATATATCAGCAGTGTTGGCCTGAGTGGCCACGTGTGCAAGACGAAGCTGACCACGCTGCTGCAACTCTCGAGCCAGGAAGTAACGCAGAGCGATGTGCTTCGTTCTGTGCTCCAGTCTGTGCTCCTCACACAAGGCAATGGCAGCCTTGTTGTCGACGTACAGAACTGGAGGAGAACGAGGCCGCTCTCCCAGGTCGGTCAGCAGGTAGGTGAGCCAGCGTAACTCCTGAGCAGCCATGGCGGTGGCGTAGATCTCAGCCTCACAACTGGAGCTGAGAACAGAAGACGAGCGAGTAGAACGCCAAGAAACAGAACCAGAGCCAAGGCTGAAAGTGTAACCCTGTGACGACCGCTACGTAGCCAGGTCGTCAACCCAAGAAGCGTCTGAGTGCCCAGTGAGGACCACGTCTCTCTGCCCTCCAAGCACGAGCCCCATGCCCGATGTACTGCACAAGTAACGCAGTACCCTCTTCGCAACATCCATG